ACGCTAATATGAAGAACATATTGTGTAACATTTCGGTCGATCATCCAATCAGATTTAAAGCCCGCTATGCTGACTTATACGGTTCCTAGTATTTCTATAATACAATATAACCGGTGGTAATTATCACCAGGGTGCTATATCTGAAAAACATCTAATTCATATCATGGATACTAAGCAAAAATATTCAGAACCCCCAAAAGCTAACCCTAACTAAAATTTGAACCTTTATATCTGACTATATCTTACCCTAAAACTGAATTCTAACCCTAAAAATAAGAAAATATGATGTTCACCGGTTATTTATAGTAAAAATCTTAATCGAAAATAAGTGTATACTGTACTAAAAATTATTTTAATTAATATAAGGCCGTAAAAGTTTAATAAATTGTTTTTCATAACCAGGTCGGGTCAAATTTGCAAAACTTTAAAAGCTTTTTAGAAATCTGCCAAAAAAAATTTTATATATTTTCATATATAAAATTTTTTTAAAAAAAACCGGATTACCGAGTCACTTTTAAAACTTCACTTATAAGAACCAGAAAATTACCATTATATATAGCCTAATACAAAAGATTAGTAATTAATTTTAATTGCAAATAATTGCATCAAAAAAAAGAAACTCACAAGCTTTAGCATAAACTAGTAAAATTGTTTTTATTGCAATTAAAAATTTGAAATTTCTCATAAAAATGTAATTCTTAATTATTTCCTGAACTCTTATTCAAAAACGCCATATAAAAAAAAAACAAGTATTTCTTGCATTTCAAGTAAGGAATGACAAATATTTAAAACGTGATTTTAAAAATTATGATTGTTTGATTTTTATTGTTTGAAAATGGTTAATATATCTTAATATACCATGACAATTCATTTAATGTATCTTTGTTTAGGATTTGCAAAAGTTATTAAAGAAAACATTTGAAATTGAAGCACTTTAAGTATCACAAATACTTCGCTAAAATTACAAATTCTAATTTTTTTTATTTAAGGTTTATATAGTAATTAGAAAGAATATTACTAAAGCTGATAAGATTTCCGGGCTATGTTTGTGGTGCAGGCAAAACTTTTAAAGTTCATTAATGTTAGTGTTAGTGTTATGTTAGAGGTTATGCGTTTATATAGTAAAGTTGTTCAAGGAAAACTTTTGTTAGAACACTAAAGGTGGTTTTTTATGCAGATTTTGAGAAATAATCGATTTTTGACAAGACGAACATTTGATTTGAAATTCAACAAAACCTGGCACAGAATTTTTTCATGCTAGTTTGAATTTCTGTCACAGTTGAACTTGTTTGATGTTCTCTCACTACTGGCTTCTTTCACTGTTGTAGAACGTTGTTGGTCTAATTTCAGATTCACTCACAATAATATTGTGCATGCTTGAAAATGATCGAGTAAAAAACTTGTAATTGTTATCAATTCAGTAAGAAACTATAGTTGGTTTAATGACGACAAGTTAATGTTTATTTGGAAAATACCTTCTTTTTACGTTTTTTTCGCTTCTGATCTACAGTAAAAGCAATTCATTGCAAGAAACATATTACCATAATTTGTAGATTTTGAACTTCCAATATAAACAAATATAGCATTGAATGCAGGAAGAAGGCGCATTTATAACTCTTATATAGTTTTTTTTTCACACGTAATGATGATTTGTAACAACTAAATTTTAAAAAGAATACATTTTTTTTTGCAGACACTGAAATTAGCCCATAGGACGCCTTTCATATGATTGGCCGTTTAAGTTTATTTAATTACATTATTTATATAGTTTAAAGTACTTTGTTTAAAAAACATAAAACTATGCAGTATGAATAAAAAATGTAGAACTCTACGATTGAAAATGTTCAAAAGCCTTTGTTGTTTTAGAGTAGTTAGCATAATTAAGCATCTTAAAAATAGATCGAACTAGGTCATTATCATGCTGACTTCTCTAAAAGAAAAGGATTTTGATCATTTTTAATAGTTTACAAAAACTGCCAATATAGCAACTTTAGAACTACTTTAAAGTACTGTAAGTAATTAAATATAGTTATATTATAGTACAGTAGCTATATTTTTAAAGTTACTATGCGTTAGCAATATGCCTACTACTAACTATTATTTTACTATTATTTTACTACAATTTTTTATGCTATTACCACAATTTGAGTGCCACAGAGCAAAAGCCTGTAACTGACCATACTAAATCATTATGATCTGTTGCATTTTTCTCTCTGCAGCACTCATTTCATAAAAAATGGTAAAAATCGGTGTTTCGATTTTTTAAAAATAGTAGTAGTAGGCGTACTGCTAAAATACAGTAACTCTAAACTATGGCTACTATAAAGTAACTTTATTAAAGTAACTATATAGTTTACTTTATAATTAATTTAAAGTAGTTCTAAAGTTGCTAAATTGGCAGTTTTAGTAAAGTAATGGAGTCCTACAACTCCGATAATACCTTCTACAGTATATACTGTACTTTTTTTTTATTTATCTTCTGTAGTTTATCTTTTTTAAAAGTACTTTGAACGTATAAATAATATAAAATTAACTTGAAATTAACTGATTAGAAGCATAGTTACAAATTTTATCGATGTTTAAAAAAAAGTATAAATAACTGACTAAAAAATTTTTTTATTACCTAATTTCAAGAGGTCGCCAAAGATTATCGATCATTTTAACACTCTAGCAAACGTACGGCCAGATATAATATCATATATAATATTAAGAGTACTATTAATACGTTTATCTCACGTATTTTGACATCATCAATTACATGGTAGCACTTAATATCTAAAATTGGTAACAATTGATATATCGAACTAAGTAGCTAAATTAGAAATGATAATCAGTGTTGTGTAAGTAAATCAATCCAATCAAAAAGCATCATAGGAGATCTTATCTCCTTGTTTTGTTTTACCTTTGTTTAATTATCTAATCGAAAACTGTAAAGCGTTGTAATAAACGTGTACATAAACTACATACTAGAAATAAGAGTGACATCTTTAGACAAATGACCAAACAAATCGGGAACTCAACCATATTTTTCTAGTGACTACTTTAATTATTACATTCATTGCCGTCTTATACTGTAAATCGAATTGTGCACACATATAGTCGGCGATTAACGGCATGAATCGGAGTAGTTAATAGTGATCCATTGATAAAATGCTTGAATTATTTATTTGGCACTTTATTCAAGCAAAATTTTGATTTGTTCATTGGTTTTAAAAGTTTTCCCTTCATTCCTTCATATCCAATTTTGGCCTTTATAACTTTACGATTTTAGTTAGACTTCATATTTAAAAAAGAAGTAATTAAGGTAGTAAAATACATTTATGTTGTGTTTCATTGTCGGAGTTCAATAATATCGAGTGCGAAGGAAATTTGCACGCGATCACATGAAAAAGAAAAAAGGAATTCATGTTGCACCACAATGAAAAAGCACTCAAGTTTGCTGACATATAATTATTAATATTTATAATTAACGAGTAGTTATCTTCTCATTAAGATCATGGTCGGATCATATTACCTTTTTAAGGCACATTTAAAGCATTACTATATTCTTTTTCTTTCACAAAGATTTAAATTTAATGAACAATTAAAAATAGAACAATAATTATTATATTTGGTTCATGCTCACCACTTTACCAAAATAATTATATTTATGGAATGAATAAGACAAGGTCGAAAATTTTGTATTATGATAACATGCGATCGTATTTCTCCACAGTATTTATTTATAACACGAACTTTATCACTCAAAATATTCGGTTTATCCGATTACTAAGCATATTTGCAAATGGAAATCCTGAACACAATATATTTTTCTTTATAACAAAAGTGAAATATATAGATTAAATTAAGTATAAATTATTGAGGTGACATGACAAATCATAATTCTTCTTTATCGTTGAAATAGCCAAGTAAATCATTATACCTATAAAATTTCAATCACATCACAGTGTCACAATTGGTATAAAGATGCTCTGTGATACGCTCTATTTAGCTTTAATGAGTTTTCTTTATGTTAAAACATTTATGTAATAAAAATATTATATACGATTTAGACAAATTATAAGAGTTTATGAATCAAACTTATTTTACACATCCTAAACCACGTGCACAAAACGTGTTCACAAATCAAAATTGTAAATATAGGTACATCAGTTGATACTACGATCATTCATAATCTTCACTGTTTTAACTAAACAAATTGAAAGTTAAAGTAAAAAATTTGATAGTAAAAAATGACTTTGCCTCAACTTGGATTAATCGCTTTCTTGAAATGTAAGAATTATGTATATGCGTATACAAAGAGTAATGTTACAGAAACTTGCCGATTTCAGGACTTTGGCTTGAGTTACACATAAATTTGAGTCAAGGACTAACCATTTCTGAAACATTTTCATAAATATTGGTTCTTGGTTGTTTATGATCTTCAAAATAGTCGACATTTTCTTTATGATCACCGTAGCTATCGAATAATTAAAAAAAAAGTTTTCAAAACAAAGACAAAAAAAGGTCATAAAACAATAACTCTTAACTGTTAAAAAAAACTTATAAAAGGTCAAAAAAAAAGAAAAGGTAGACATATAATATTAAAAAAATGCCCAAAACTAAACTCGTATCTGTAAAAACAATAAAATTACAAAGACGAAAAAACATTCATTATTTTGAAACTACAGAATTTAAAGAAAAACTTAAACTTTCAATTGAAAATAACTTTCCTGGCTTCTTTTCTAATAGAAATGATTTAAATTTCAATCATGCAATAGAACAACTTTTGGCACCTTGTAAAAAGACCAGAAAAAATCAAGAGAGAACCCCAAAACCCCCAAATGCATTCATTTTATATCGAAAGGATATTCAAAGCGAAATAAAAGAAGAAAATCCAAATATAAATCTCGTACAAATATCAAAAATTATTGCAGAACGATGGGCAAATGCTCCAGATGAAACAAAAAATCGATATACTATACTAGCAGCCCTTTGTGATCGAGTTCATCGTGATATTTTTACAGATGATAAAGTTATGTCAGAGTCGAAGGAAAGTGGAAAAAAAGAACCCAATATGAAGTCTGTTGAAACATTAAAGCCATGGTCACCGCAATCTTCTCCAAATGAAAAAATATTTTTGCTCAATAGTGCCATTCCTCAAGAAAATTATGAATCAGTAGACATGCTACAAGAAGAACAGTTTGCTACTGAATCACAGTATTTAAATCCCAATATAAGACTTAGTGACACATTTCCGGTGAACGAACAAATTGAAACAAATCACCTTATCTATCTTAACTACGAAATACAATCAACAGAAAATTTACCTTTTGGTTCAAGTGAAAATATTATTATGGGCACAACTTTGCCACAAGATTTTAATAGCTATTCAATTGCAACTTTAAATCCTAATTCTTTAATATTGGACACAACTCTTGCTTTTTGTTCATTAGAACCAACATATGAACAATTACGTAATATTTTCGAATTGAATAATTTAGATAATTCGAACTATCTAAATAATTTGGATAATGTGAACTATCTGAATAATTTGAATAATTTCAACAATCTGAATTATTTTTTAATGATCTGAATGAATTAATTGAATACTGGATTTAACGTATAAAATTTCTTTACTTTTTTATGTTTTATCTCATTTATTTATTTTTATTTTTTATGTTTTATCTCATTTATTTATTTTTATTTTTTATGTTTTATCTCATTTATTTATTTTTATTTTTTATATTTTTTTGGAGAAATATTTTTATAGAGAAAAGGGTTTAGACATTTCTTATATAAATAACATCGATTAAATTTTTATTTAGATAACATTATTTTGGCATTGAATATCTGCACGTCACGATTATACAATTATATATTTTATAATAGGTGTGAAAGGAAAAAATTTTGATTATACATTTTAGGATTATGCATTCAAGAATTTAAGCTCAAAAATTTTATTATAATTGTATGCGCTTAAAGATTTAAGCTCGATATACACGTAATGAATCAATTATTTCATTCGTTGCGAAGTAACTGATGTTTGTTTCTATTTACAAATATTTACAAATATTTAAATTCTACTTATCCAATAAATGAATTACATGATTTAATTATTATCAAGTTATATGAATATTTTAATAATAGGTTATCTTTCAAGTTCTAGCCACCGTGTGTACATGTATCTACTATAGATTAAATGATCATTGCTTGAATTTATTCTATAAAAATGCAGTGTGGGTTAATTTAACTATTTCATAATAAGCTAAATATGTTTTATTAAAATTAATAAAAACGACACGTTATTCAAAATTTCATAATAATTGTGGCAGATTAAAATGAAATTCAGATTTAAATGAAATAATAATATAAAATCTCGAAAATTTAATTTTTTTTTGATGTGTATTTTTTAGGGTTAGAGGTTAGAATTAGGAGTTAGGATTAGAGTAAAATGTATTAAACAAGTATAAGTGGGTTTTAGAAGGTTAGAAGGTTGAATAGAAAATGTAGATTTCATTTTAAATTATGATCTGCGACAATAATTAATGTTAATAATCGCAATTCTTTGAAATACTTAGAAATAAACTGTATTTTCAAATACCTAAAAAATAATTAATACCATTTAATTCATTCATTTGTTAAAATTTGAGCATGTTTTGAAATAAGATTTATTTTTTTTAGGGGTAAGTTATGATTTAGGGATAATGTTGCCAATGAAACAGCGTAGGTGGATTTTGCCAATGCTTATATTTCAAATTAAGGTTCCAAATTCTACATCGCCCGTGACATTTAAGTTACTGCAGCGCATTATGATATTGTACAGTATACTAATTCCCAAATTAATAATTTTGTGCAACGATTAATTCGCTAGTATATAAATAGACACAATAAAGTAGTATTGAACTACATGCGCACCAACTAAGTAACACTTTCGTATTACCGAAAACAAGGAACGTATTTTCGTTGTTCCATTTGTGGAATCTGATTACTCAACGATTATAGTAATTGTTCGAACTTAAAATTACATATTCGAACGTGCGCATGTTCTTTGTTACTCCAGGAAGATTTTACTTTCTCTGATTGATGGTCGTGTTTAAGAGGATTACTGGCCAAATTTCTACCTATGTGCATACGTACGTACGTATGTAATCGGTGGTCTATTATATTTTAGAAAAAAAATTTTTACTTCCAATTTAACCCGAAAAATTAATCTGACCTAAATTTTTGAATTATAAAATTATTGAATCTCTTACAGTATAGGTGACACCTCTAAATTAATTGATGAATAATACATGTTATTAATGATGTCACCTACTGTATCACTATAATGCAAAAGATCCAAATCTTATATAATATCCCATGACGGAGGCATGGGTCACACGCTAGTATGATATTGTGATACCGAAATATCGTGACCGATCACGTGAAAAATGCACGAAATGCAATAAGTGCAACAAGTTACATTTG